TCATTGGTTACTGTGATTTTATACGGTTGGGACGTTACTACTGATATTTCTACAGTAACTCCAGAGTTGCTGTAATATTTGGTTGGAAACACGGTATTATACTCTAAAATGGTATACAGTAATTTACTGTGCACAAACACTGTAAATAACACAGCCATCTTTTACAGTGTGACTAAGGACATTACAAAAGATGAAAGCCAAGAAAGCTGCTGGGCCAGAAGGGTGCAACGGTTTTCTGCTGAAAAACGTTGCTACTGAGCTGGCTCCAGTGTGGCAACCGATCTTTCAGGCTTCCATTGACACGCACACCATCCTTCTTTCATGGAAAACTTCTCACATAAAACCACTGCCCGAAATTCCATGCTCAAAAGAACATAAGGACTACAGACCAATAGCCCTTACCTCAGTCATCATGCAATCATTAGAAATAATTATTCTCTGTTTTCTTATTAGTACAACAAAAGACAAACTTGATCCATACCAATTAGCATATGTGTCACCGAAGATGCTGTTGCTACTCTCGTTCATATCACTAAACATTTAGATAAACCTTGAACATATGCAAGAGCCCTCTTCCTAGACTTCTCATCAGCATTCAACACAATACAAGTGGACATCTTGGTGTCAAAAATGGCCAAAAAGTAAATCCATACCTGATTTACTGGTATGCCTCTTTCCTCACCGGCAGAGAGGAACTTGTGAAAGTGAACAAAACCCTGTCATCTGCCATCACAATCAATGTAGGGGCCCCCCAGGGCTGCGTGAGTTCAGCTGTGCTTTTTACTCTCTACACTGCGATTCATCATTAAGTACTCTGATGATACTGCATTATTATCTCTGCGAAGTAACACAGACAACCCTGAGCTGCAGGGTGTAAATCAGGTGGTTGAGTGGACTGATAACAATGCTCCATTGTAACAAACACCCAGAAAACTGAAAAAAATTGTTTTTCTAACCCTAACCCAGACTAGACCAACAGACGTCATTCGTCATCATCATCATCTCATCACCCCCTCCATATCAATTAATTGTTACTTCTTGTATTAAACCTACAAACACCATACTGTTTGTGGCATGGTCCTTGCTAGTGAATTTATCTTTAAACCTTTTTATTTTACAAGGTTAAAGTCAACGATGCAGCCAGTGCTGGGCGATAAAATGTAGTTTTCAATGAGACACTAGTTTCTCAGTGAGCAAATGTGGCTGCAGAGCTCTGCATTTTAAAAGCTGAAGAGGAGTCAATAAATCAGGAAGCTGGCAGCCCGCTCGAGGCTCTCAAGCTGTCTGCAGCATCACCAGAGACTCAGCGTTTTGTCTCCTGCTCCTCCAGGAAGCTTTTATTGTCCCACTGAACGGCCATTAATAATATATCTTTAACGAGGCTAAATGTTAATCAACACCGGTGACTCAGCTGCAGGATTCTTTGGTGATGGCATAAAAACTCAAAATAAAAATAAAATAAAAAAATGCCATACTAAAACAAAGAAATAACATTCATGCTTGCTTGCACAAACACACTGCAGCAGACACCTACACACTCTTGAGAGACAAGTGGTAAAACACTCACACGGACACACAGAACGCTAATTCAAATCGCCTGGTCCTTACTTATTTGTCTCTAACTGAAATTTAAATCAGATGTATTTTTAATAAAGTAATAAGGCACACATTCATGTTTAGTTTTTTACCGGGGACAATTAGCAGAGGAGGACATATTTTTTTTTTTTTTAAAGCTATGAGTGATGGCTGCATCCTTTTAGACAACACATGGTCTAAAGCTAAGGGCAGTGTGAATATTTCCTGAGGATTAATGCTCATTATTACATTTCTGCCTCGTTTTCATCCTTGTGGGTAAACTCCACAATTTTTGCTCTCCTGACAATCTGCTTTTTTTAACATTGCCTTTAAAGTGGCAAAACACATCTTTCCTTTAAAGGTCTTACAGGAAAAACCAGTCTTACAGGGAAAAGTGTTAAAAGGGAATAAAAGTCCTCTTCATCCCTAGTTGAAATTACGCCATTAACATTACATTAACCTCAGACACTTTGGGATTCATGAATCAGAATAAGGATTATCATGCATCTCAGAGAGCGACACAATTTCAAATTGGGTAACTTACTGTGTGTGTGTGTGTGTGTGTGTGTGTGTGTGTGTGTGTGGCCTAGCATTACTATACTTGTGGGGACCTAAATCTGTTTACACAGTCACGTGTGGGGACTCGCCTCCGTTATGGGGACAAAATGGAGGTCCCCATGAGGGGAATCATTAATTTCAGGGTGAAGACTTGGTTAGGGTAAGGGTTAGGGTTAGGCATGTGTTGGTTATGGTTAAGGTTAGGATAAGTCTCCAGGAAATGCATGTAAGTCAATGTAATGTCCCCTTAAGTGATGTATACATGGTGTGTGTGTGTGTGTGTGCGTGCGTGCGTGCGACAGAGATGTTGCATAATGTGTGAATCTCAGCAGCTTGTGGGGTTTTGAACTTTCTGATGCAACTTTTCAAGACTCGTCCTGCACCTCCTTCACTTCACATATGAAATAATCTCCTAACGCAAGCAAGAAAATCCTGGTGCATCCTTTTATATAACTGCACTTTTTTTCTTTTAGCACTTTTGCACATTTTCAACCTCATCCACAGCAGCTTTTGATGACTAACAGTGCAAAACAAGTATAAAACCTCCTGCACAGATAACTGCTTCCATCACATCTCCTATTAATATTTGCTTTTACATAAAATCCTTCCGAGGTTGTGTTTTGCATCCCCTGGTTTTCTTGCAAATGCCACTGGGTTGATGGATTCTGAGTCAGACGAGAGACGACTTAAACAAAAAAAAGATGAATGTTCCCTCCGTGAGACGAGTCCTTGCCGAATAATGTCCACTAATGGAGACAACTCCCAATCAGAGCAGATAATGTCTGCTCTGCCTCCTGCCAAAGTGTGGGTGGTAAAAACACAGATAAGAATGAAGCAAGCTGAGTTAGCAGCTTTGGGAGATGAGAGAGGAACAAAATGTGGTGATTTATGTAAATGTCTTTTCATTTCCAAAAAGGTGCACTTTTACCTCAGGGAGGAGATGCGTGAGGGGAGTGTGGAAAAAGTTTAGTTACGCAACTTGTTTTAACAAACGTGACATTTTGATTATAGGAAAAGATCCACATATTGAGGTGTAATTGTGATTCGCTGTGTCTGAAAAACTGTAAGCACAGAGATAAATGATTGAAGAACTTAAATGCAATGGTTGAAAAAGCTTTGAGTTATAGATTCAAAATGGGAAAATGTAGCTTAAAGTAATGGAAAATTATATTTTAAATAGACAAAGTAAGCACTATTAGATGAAATAGCAGACTCGTAGTAATAGAGAGCTAAACCGACAGATGAACTGTTATACTGAGATAGAAGTAAGGATAAACAGTTGGAAAAGCCACACATATCTGAAATTGATGGCTTATACAAGTGTAATAAATTAAAATCAATGTTGATATGGCGTAATTTGAATTAAATACACTGTATTTAATTTAAATCTGTTTTATTCTAAAAACCGAATATTCACACATGACTTCCGTTTTTCCGCTAGTGAATTTCGTCATTTCCGGTTAGCATTAGCATGTGGCGAAATGCTACGTTTTCAAACCGTGAATTGAAGGTGAAATTACATGATGTTGTACCCTAAACATACTGGGTTTAACACTCATTTATTGACGCTGAAATAACGTTTATTAGGGAATGTTTAAATAACCACAGACATCAGAATTATGTAATTCAGCAGCAGAAACCGGCAGAAATTGCATTGGACACGCCCCCGTCGACGCCGGCCAATAGGAGAAGACTACAGTTGATTACCCGGGAGCCACAGGAGGAATCGGTCTCTTTCCTTGCTCCCAGCTGACCCAACGCGGACGGGACCAACAGCTGTTGAGCAGGGGCAGCTGGCAGGGGGGGAGCCACCAACTCCCCCCTGCCAGCTGTTGGTCCAACCATCATTGTATATCACCGCATCATTTGTGTAATTAAATGCTGTTAACTTTTATAAGCTTCCCTTGACTCTTTTCAGTTTGTCCTGCTTTCAGGGTTCAAGAATTACTAACACAAGCGGATAAATGTAATGTCATGAAAAAGAAGAAGAAATGCAAACTTGATTGATCTAAATGATCAATCAAGTTTGAAAATCACACTTTGCTTTTTTAATAATATATATAATTTAATTATACCCAAAGTAAAGGGTAAAATACATAGAGTATTTTTTTACTTCTACACTTTGAGTATCTATATTATAAAGCTTTTTCTTGCTTTGAAAAGTTCAAGGTCTTTCTGGCTGGAAACTTTTGTAATCAGGAGATTCTCTTCTTTTTTTCTTTAACAAGTACCCATACCATCCAGCAGCCGGCTTTGACATTAACCAGTTGTATGTTTATAAGTGAATGCATATGAAAGATTTTGAAAGGAGACACCGCTTGGGACTTAAAGATACTGATCTCCTGAATGACTCAGCTTTTTAAGAAATAATCCCCCTATGCAAGAAGATAAAGACAACCACAAAATAATAAAACATAATCCAACTTTGCAAGCTAAACAGCTTTACTAAGCTGTTTTGTAGCCCCTGGGCATGGCACCGATCCAATATTTAGAAATGCGTAATTCATATCTTAATTATTTTTCCCTGCTAAATGAATTGGCCGTCAACCAGATGAGGGTTAGATCAGGGGGAGTTTGATGTGAGACAAATTGAGTTATTATTTTCCAAGCTTTTTTTTAAACCAATTAAGAAAAATCTATATTTGAGCTTAGTGCATACACACACACACACACACACACACACACACACACACACACACACACACACACACACACACACACACACACACACACACACACACACACACACACACACACACACACACACACACACACACACACACACACACACACACACACACACACACACACACACACACACACACACACACACACACACACACAGTTATGATACTCCTGTACTGTACCTGCTGTGTGATGGAGTGTCCGATGACGGTGTCTCCTTGAGGGATGTTCCAGGTCACCATGGCCGAGTGTGCCCTCAGCTGGGTCACCGACACATTCACCGGGGCTGCTGGCACCGCTGTTAACACAAACACACACACAATACACACAACATGTTATGACTTGTTAGGGACATCACTTTGGAGTCTGTGCATCTAGTTTGCAGATCAAACGCTGCATGGTCAAAAAGTAAACTAATCACATTATCCATGCTAAAATAATAATTAACAACAAATCATAATGCATTTTATTTGTTGTTGCATTTCAGGACACTCAAGGACACCCTAAAAAGCATATCATAAACAGATGAAAACAGTAAAACATGACAAAAACACATCAAACATTATTAAATATGGCAATCAGAACTCATAAGTCCTTTGCAAATATAAAGGATAAATCGAACTATAGATGATAAGTCAAACACTTAAAAAAGGTCGAAAATGAATGTATCTTAAAATAACTGTCTCAAAACCTTTTTTCATCATGATTAAAGGTCTCCTAGTGGCTCAGTCTGTAGGGACTTGGTCTTGGAACCGAAGGATAGATATATAAAAAACATGTCTATGAAATGTTTTGCTCAAAATAACAGATCACCCATTGTAGCATGCCTCATACCCCTGTATTTCAGCCCTGTTGCTAAAGTGCTGATTCCGGGTCTGGGCCTTTAAATGTAACCGAGCTGCTGCTGGCCATGCCCCTTTAGAGCATTCTCCACTGTGAAGAATTTGGTTTCTACCCAGATTCTCAGCTAAATGTTGCCGTGATTAAACGCCATATTATGTTCCAAACCACATCAACTCTCCAGTACAGGTTAGCTCTGAGTGTTAGCGATGCTTGCTAATGTAAACACAGACCATATTACTTCCAAAACACATCACGCATTGTTTCAGATACAGCAACGTTTCTGATAGGGCCGTGGGCGTACAGCCAGCCCACATTTGAGTAATGTCGTCATGACCGCAGCAAATCTGGATCAGCTCCGTTGTTCCCCCGTTTTTAGAGATGTGGGTAAGGAGGAAAAGAGAGAGGGTTGTATTTGCTGACACTTTGTGATTCTCCTTACACACCAGGGACACATATTTATGTATAATAAGCGCATGTTGCATAATAGGTGACATTTAAAACTCGGAGTGGCAGTAAAACAAATGTAAATTACGGGACACATTCTTTTTTGTCAACATTGATTTTTCTGTCTACTTATTGTTCATAATATAATTACAAATCATTAGGTCCCCTGCATAAATGAAAGTTTGATGAAAGTCAAACAGAGGAGCTACGATAAAACATTAAAAAAGGTTGATTCACGTCTATATATAGTGTACGATATGTGGATAACACACACACTGATTTTCTGTCATGCCTACAAGCGTGTCCTTGAGCAAGACACTTCCCCATCTCCTGTCTTTGTGGATTAAAGTGTCTAAAAGTAAATGGTTGAAATATGTGGTCCTGTGCAAAACATGATAAACACACACGCTGGATTTCCACACTTATATTAATGTTCCTCTGGGGGCACGTTGAAATTGATGGGAAATCTGAAGGTTTTGCTGACCCAGTGAGAGTGTGACAGATTGTTTTATATAATTAAATCATGACAAAAAGCTTGACCTCCACTGACAGGGGGAAGGGAGGAGGTTATTTAGTAGTATAATAATAACCTTTTACTTTGATTGATGGAAAACATCTGGTGATAAGAAGGGTTTACTGTACATATTGTGAGGCTCGAGGATAAACAACTTCACAAAAAGACAAGGAAAAAAAGAAAGACAGAAAGCAACGAACAAGCAAGCATGTTAGAAAAAGAAACATCAAGTAAGGCATTAAAGAAGAAGGTATGAAACAAAGGAGGGAAGAGAGCAAGGAAGAAAGGAAGTCCGAAAGAAAGCAAGTAAGTAAGAAAACCAGCTAGGAAGCAAGCCACAAGTCTAGCAAGGAAGTAAGAGTGAAAGGAAGTGGGCAAGGAAGCCAGCATGAAACTCGGCGAGTTTTATTTATTTATAATTATGATAATTATAATATTACATTTTAAAAGCGCCTTTTAAATCATCTAAGGGTACTTTACAAAACAAGATAACGCAGACAACAAATAATTAATGAAAAATGCTCTGTGGCTTCTAATTATTAACGGTGACATTAAGTGTACCAACTCGGTGCTATATTTTAAGATAAAAAAATGTCAAGTTGCGGTTGTAAAAAATATGTATCATGCTAAGGGTTTTTTTTATAATTAATTTGGCTTCTGTGCAATTCTTCTGAATTTTCTTTAATAGCATTTGAGTATTTTTTATTTCTTTCCACATGATGTTTTAAGCTTGAAGTTCTGTTGATAAAGTTCTCACAAACACAAAATAAATGACAGCAGCAGTGAAAACATCACCGAACTGTAAACAAAATCTCTGTGGAATATCACCGTAAATGTCAAGCTCTATCTCCGGCTAACAAGCTAACCCCAGCTCATTATGCAAGCTCCCTGCAGGACACCAGCCAGAACCGGCTCATCATTAAAGAAAAATACTCCCTTTAACATTCATACAAAATAATCTGTAGCTCCTTCAATCCGTGATTTCCTGCATTTCCAAAGAAGGGCTCATAAACCTGTTGAACTCATGTCGGAGGCGTGAATGGCTGCACAGCGAGAGGAACTATGTGGGAGTCTTTTTTTTCAGTTAAGAAAAAGCAACATTTGTGACTACCCAATCTGTCCTGTGGCTGAGATGCATTCTGGTCTATTTCCTGATGCTGTGGGTGTAGATATTGGACTGCGTGCTGATCAATTCCTGTCAGTTTTGAGAGTGTTGAAATTGTGGCTGCAGAAAGAAGCTCTTTGATTCTAAGGATCGGTCTTAAACCATAAATTAGAGCAGATTCTGTTCCGTTTCTGACAGATTTTCATTGCATTTGTGGCCAAAAGTACGTCGACACCCAAACATTACACCCAGTAAGTGATTTTCAATTAAAACCTTATTCCAATTTTACTGCAACATTTTGGAGCATGGCTGCAACGACTTTCTTCCTTTCAGCCTGAAGAGCAATCAAGGTTATGAAAAAAGGTGAAGCAGAATGTCATGGTGCACAAACAGAAATAGATTCATTTGAGGCTGCCCAAAGTGAAGTGAAATATGCAACATGTTATTGCAAAATGGTTCTTCTTCTACTACAGAAAAATCAGTAACTGTAGATTCATTCATGTGTAAGGTTTGAACATTAGGAGCTTAAACAGACTGATTCATTAAATCTTCTTAAGCTTTCTGACTCCAGTTTTATAACCCAAACTAAACTTCCTGGATTTAATTAAATAAAAATGTAATTCAAAGTTGCCTCAAGTAGCTTCACAACAACCAGCCTGTGCTTGAACCGTCAATTAGTTTGAATTGTATTAAGTTATTCCTCCTTTCTCTTCTCCATTCTCCTAGGAATATCCAGCATTCCTGTTGTGTCAATTTCCACTTTCCACATGCATACAGTCTTTTTAAACCTGCGGTAATGTAATGTAACCACAGGAGGTATTCTCATATGTACATGAAAATAACACACGCAGAAATATTCACTCCTCCACCCACACACTCATAAAAACCATGCTCCGTGTCACTGCCAATGACACTAGAGGATCCAAAGGATTTGGCGGCTAAATCCCAGCCGCTCTCATCTGTATGGGCTCAGAACAGTCTCATAATACACACATGCACACAGAAGGATTCACACTTGTATTTCTGGATCCACACTTGTGTTTTTCAATGCACACACAAATGTGTTCCGTTTCATATACATGTAAATAAAATCCAAATACAGAAAAAAGTTTTACATATGTATTTTTGATCCTCACATATTTGTTTTCCGTTTAAATCCCCTGCACCTGCAAACACAAACCGCTTTCTGTGCATGGATCGCTGTGCATTCGTGTGTGGGTTTTTTGAGACTCCCCTGACGGTGACCCGATTCGTACTTGTAATTTTTTCTATCTATAGCCAATCAGATGTCTCCTCAATTCTAAGCCAATCACATGAGCGCGCCCCCACAAGGGTAGATTTCTTACGTTAGATGAAGAGAGAGGAATTATATCAGGTTGATATCAAGAGTTCATTTGGAGAGAAAAGACAGACGAAGGGCAGAGTGAGATGGATGGATGGAGAAGGAGGAGAAAAAAGGTCAATGGTGGAAGGAAAACAGGGAGGAGAATATGGATATTGATTAAATTATGAAATTATTCATTATCATTACTCGCATGTGCTTGTTTGTCCTTCATGTTTTTTCTGCCCAAATTATTTATTTATGCTCATTCATCAGTGTTTAAACACTTCAGGGAGCATTAAGCCTCTTCTCAGTCCCTTAATGTTTTATATTTAGCTAGATTTGGGATTGTAATGTCTCCCCTTAGCTGGAAAACACTCAAATCCAATGATATATAAATATGCTATCATCATACACTTACTGTAACTCTTATAATAAATCTGCAGGTGGATCAAGGATTCATTCAACATTTAAATTAATGAATTCAGTCAATAAGATTTAGTCAATATTTATAAAAATGTCTTATGTTGTTTTGCTTTGCAACAAACTATAACAAAATTCAATCACCAATGAATAATAATGGTATTTGCTTATGTGCTCTCTAAAAATCGAAATAATGTCAAGTAGTAATAACAAATATATAATATATTATAATGTATGATGTCCTTTATTGTTTTATGTTTCATGTGGAACCTATTTGCTGCAGGTCTCCCTTGAAAAAGAGATCTATGATCTCAATGGGACCAATCTGGTTAAATAAAGGTTTGAAATGAAATGAAATGAAACCGAAGGCTAAATGTTATCTTAGAATCCTATTTTACAAAAAGATTGGATATGTTTTACCTTAGAAATTCATGAAAACATCTCTGAATTTGTGTAGCTCATTCCCTGAGAATTCCCCCTTACATAAATGATGCATGTTTCAAGAATAGTTATAATAAATCCACATACTTCTTAATACAAGTCAAATAAAGGACCCTAAACTCTTGTATCTGTCCTCAGATATTCCACAATGGAAGCAGTTTCTAAATAAAAAACAATGCTGTTTTCCTTTACTGCTCTATAAGACAA